CGGTGGTTCCTTCAGTTCTTTACAAATCTTTGAGGCGCCGCTCGTTGCCTTTCCGCAGAGAGAGAGAGAGATAGAGAGGGAGAGAGAGATGAGAGAGTATTAAAGCGCTCTAATCGGCCCACGTGGAGGGCATCTAGTTAAGAGGCCATTGCCTGTGGCCTCCGAGATTGCGCGCCTACGGGTTTTTCTGTCTTCTCTACGGCCGTCCCAGTTGCACGGAGAGAGTGTAATTACAGAGGCTGGGCGTGGCCCGCCCCTCCTCCGCACAGCGGCGCCCGCCGCGGAGTGTCGCAAAGGCAGTCGGGGCTTGCATGATGCGAGGAAAAATCTGGTTTGCGCTTTATGTATCTCCCCACTGATTTATAAAGGTCGGGTCAGGGTGTAGGAGAGACAAAGTGCATACAGGGCCTATATATTCTGAAATGCTGGAAATGCACTTCAAAATTCATTGCAATAATTAGTTTGAAATAAATTAATAAATCACTGGCATTTAATCACATTCATTTTTATTTCTCGTGAGAATAATCATGGTCTCTGAAGGTTGATAGGTTCATTAATGGTTGTAATCCGCAGGTCGCGGGATCGAATCCGGCTGCGGCGGCTGCATTTTTGATGGAGGCGAAAATGTCGTCGGTTCGTGTGCTCAGATTTGGGTGCACGTTAAAGAACCCCAGGTGGTCGAAATTTCCCAGAGCCCTCCACTATGGTGTCTCTCACAACCATATGGTGGTTTTAGAATGTTAAACCCCACATATCAAACAAATCAATTAATGAGTGTAATTGGCACAGAGGGGCAGTTCTAGTTGGAGTGTCAAAATGAAGGAATCAACAATGTTGCATGGATACAAGTATATATATAATAAGCTATCACCGGGCCTGAAATCGGACTCTGTATAAATGTGTAACGCGTGCACGTGCACACACACACATACACACACGCACACACGCACTGACTAAAATTGTGACATTTACAAGTAAGCTGGACATACTCGTCCGGAGTACACGGAGGGGATCCTAAGGTGAAAATGTACAAATATGCGGATAACAGCTATACTTCGCCTGTATCCCGGAGTGCTAGAACACGGAGGGACTGCACGCTATGAGACTTTGTCAGGGTCGCATCACACATGCCATGAATATACTATCCAATAAGCTTCACTTAGTCAATCAATGTCATACAGTATGAAAAAAGTGTAAACTAAATGGTACCTAAACAAACTAAAATTCAAAAGAACTTCCGATAGTCCCGTTCACATCAACGTTCGGGAGAACCAGTGATACAGAAACTGAACTTTTCTGAGCTTTGCGCTGTGTTCACAGATGTAACACCACTAATATTTTTGATACAAACAGCCCAAGAATAGATTAGTTGTAGCACGATGTGTCACTCGCCTACATGGATTTCCCAATTTTCCTTTCCAACTACGTCCTACCGCGCCGCAGAAGCAAGAGATCGGGAGGAGGGTGGAGACGGTCATCATATATCTAGACTGAATGTCACTGGTGCTGTGACGGCTCCAGACAGGTTGCAGAGGCGTTTTATCATTTATGCTTGTTAATTTGCAATGTAGATTATATTTATATGGCCATTATACCACCAAAACATGAGCAATGTAGAGGTAACAAGAAAAGAAGACAACTTAGTTGTTACATATGCAAAACACAAATTTAATAGACCAATATGGCGGCACTCACCTGTCCAAGGAATAGTCTAAATTTCGGGACATGGCCCAATTTAGGGTTGCAGAATAGCATCGTTTCCTCCTCCTCCCTCCTCCAACCGCTTGCGCCATGTCAGTGAGGTGGCTGGCATGTTCTATACCACTGCTGCTGGGTGTTGTTTTCCGAAAGTTTGTTGAATTAAAAAACTAGGTTGCACCCCATAGAGTCTTGAAAGGTCAATTTCGCCAGATGACATGTATAACGGTCTCCAGCTGTACTCAAAAGCAAAATTAGAGTTCAATTAGTATTCATATTGGTAGCGATTTGGAAAATAGGCATTTATAGACCTTTATGGGAATCAAGGCACGAATGTCAAAAATGAACACTACAAAAAGCTCTCTTTAACCTCTAATTCATGGTCCTATATCAAAGTGGCAAAAAAGGAATGCAAGGAACAAAATAGGCATTTGTTTAAACTTCGTTATCTAAGAATCACTATGGCCAGATAGGCCATAGTAATTATTTTTTTTGCTCAGAATTAGGGGTGCATGTGCTCACTGTGTTGGGAGTAGGCATGACAACTAATTTCTGCCTTATAATCAAGGCTGGGGTTAGTCAAAAACTTGTTCCGTGCAGGAAATTTGTATTAGAGACCTTCCAAAATGATTACACATGGCAGCTAATTTCTGCCTTGTGGTCAATGCTGGCGTTAATGAAAGACGTGCCATGCAGAGAAGGTGTATTAGAAACATTCCAAAATTTTTGCACATATAAGCTTATAACGTTAAGTGTGTGCGGTTGTACCATTGGTGCAAGAAGACACCCTAGTATAAAAAAATTAATTGCACAAAACATCAAGCACCACATGTTTGCACTGTTAGTGACCTTATTCTATGTCACTCTACTGCCATATTAAGTATCCTTTGCAAAATGGTGGCTGCAATAATGTTAGCACAGTGTCATCACAAGTAAAATAGTTTTGGTTCTTATGGTTACCTTGTGCCATGCAGAGAAGGTGTATTAGAAACATTCCAAAATTTTTGCACATATAAGCTTATAACGTTAAGTGTGTGCAGTTGTACCATTGGTGCAAGAGGACACCCTTGTATAAAAAAATTAATTGCACAAAACATCAAGCACCACATGTTTGCACTGTTAGTGACCTTATTCTATGTCACTCTACTGCCATATTAGTATCCTTTGCAAAATGGTGGCTGCAATGATGTTAGCACAGTGTCATCACAAGTAAAATAGTTTTGGTTCTTATGGTTACCGTTTTCCACCGTGCACTCAGGCATGACAATCATGTTAGGCTGATACTTTTAGCTTCATTATTTTTCTAAATGCTCTCCTATCCTTAACGATAGTTCCCAAACATTGTCAGCACAATGAAGTCATTGCTAAATGTACCACTAAAATGGGGGCACCACTTCCTTCCTAATGGGCAGTTGTTCCGCACCAGCGACCAACCCTGTGAACGTGACAAACTTCATTGTGTTGCAGTTGCCATGGCGACAGTTGACCTATGGTCGGCTGCAGTGAACGAGTTTTTGTCGTAGTCCCCTGTGTGTGGGAACGTGATATGGTGCAACACTTACTGCGCCACATATTGCAGGACTAATTCAGGCCTGCTGGTGGCCTTTGTGGTCTCCTTTTATCCAAGGTGGCACTGCGCACAAATGTACATGTGGGGTATATGTATCGCAGCATATTTTGCAGCCAAGTTCACTTTTAATGGAGTTCTGACATGTAAGCCTCACTAAAAGGATGAACTTGCAATTATGATGGTTAGAAAATAAAATAATGTTTTTTAGGTTGGTACTAGTATTTTTGAAACATGCATTAAAAAAAAAGCTAAATTTGCTGATGTCATGCTGTAATAAGACAATGATAAAGTTATGTTGCATGAAGGGAAAAAAACTGTGCCACATTTATTTCTCTTGGTTGTGCTTTTATAGGAACCGCAGCATTGGCATGAAAGGAGTAGGCTAACATGTCATTGTGCATCCACTTTTTGGGTATTAAAATAACTGATTTATGGAAACTATGGTAGACTTCTTATTGTCTGATGCATTCCATTATTTTTTTTCCTCTGGGTTGGCATTATTCAGACTTTCATTTAGCGCACTATTGTGCTTGCTGCCATTTTTGACGAGGCTACTGTGTCATTTGAGGCCAAAGCATTGAAAGGAAGGGTGATATTTGAAGTACTAGCATAATGTCTCACAATTAGTGATATGGTGATATTATAGATTATTTAGGCATTTGCCCCCAGATGGAGTGAAAGGTGCATATAAAGCTGCTTACATATTAGCAACTTTTACTCCTTCCAGGCACTGGAAAGAAAGCACTGTACCTGCTTGCACAACTCACCATATTTTTAGATGTGGACTTCAGCCAAAGTTAGCATTCGTGTTTCATGTAGTTATGATTTAGAAGAAATGCGACATGGTGGTTGCTGTTTAATTTGTTGACATTACTTGTGAAGTGCCATTCGGCATCAAAAATGGCATTCTGTACATAGCTGGAGGCACTTGTTTTTAAAGACATGTGATGGGTCTCCATTTCTCCAGGCTTACATTCGCGTGGAGCTCGGAGGGGGTAATCCTAAGATAAGACATGTTGTGGACGTTATGCTAACTTAAAACACGACATTTTTATTAAACTTCACTACTTCAGGCACAAGTTATAACATACTCGCGACAAACGTATCATGTTTACCCAACTTATTCCAAAGCACTCAGTTTTCCATATCAGATTGAAGTAACAGAATTTATTGTTGGTTGTATGCATTTCAAACAAACAAATATTGAATTTTCATGTTATCTACCAGAATGTGGTACTTCGAATGACCCATTGAACATGGTAGTGCCCTAAGTGAATTGATTGTCTCTAGCAATATGCAACTCACTGCAGTTAATTTAAGGTGTACCAAATATGGGGGAGGTTCAATTCACGCAATTCAATCTTAACTTTTTCTTGGCCACCAGTCAAAAGAGTTGGCAGAAACAAGTTGAGTTTTTAGATGTGGACGCCATGCTTGGAGTGGTCTAAATAGCAACCCCTGCTATTATCATTAAACATCAAGTTGTCTGCAGTATTGCTGCTAGTTCACTGGGCCTACTTAAATTGCTAGTAACAATATGCAGTGGCTATTTCATAACAGTGTTGCTAAACATGTGGAGTGCTAGTGCAACCAGGAAGTTATATGATAGAATGGAATCGGGTGTTATGTTTTGGCATGTGAAAAAGTGTTTTGTGGGTTTGTTGTGTGCGACATCCCATTGCGTGCCATGTGGATACATTTGCATTGCGCAACTTGTTAACTTTTTCTGCAGGGTCGCTGTAATCGAGAAAAGCCTCCTTGCAAGTACTTCCACCCACCGCAACACCTGAAAGATCAGCTGCTGATCAATGGACGCAACCACCTGGCACTGAAAAACGCACTGCTTCAACAGATGCCATTGCAGGCCATGCTTCCCGGACAGCTTCCGACGGCGGCCGTGGTAAGTCCCTACTGGTACCTGGGACACATGCAGAGGCAACAGCAGCTGCAGCAACAACAGCAACAGCAGCAACAGCAGCAAAGCTACGCGCTCTTCAATGGCTCCCTCGCTTCAGCCAAGGTAACCAGCGCAGTGCACTCAGTTGAAGAAAATGCTCTCTGCCAGGATGGTCGCCACACTATGAAGCAGGCGGTGCTTAGCTAAGCCAGCAAGCAACTTACAGAAAATAAGGAAGTGAGTTTACTATGGGTGCTTTTTCCCAAGGGCAAGTGCTACAGGATATTTTGAATAGTGTTAATCCCATGTTCGGTAATATGACATTCTTGTTATATAGAACCCCGGGTATAGCCCCCCATGATCGTCGCAAGGTTATGGAACGTAAAACTCCGCAATTATGACATTTCTAGACTGGACTAATGTGGTTGATTGAAACATTAGGCTAAAGCTTTGCACTGGACAAAAGAATCCTTCGCTTAGACATTTGAGTGTAATAAACCTACCAATAATATTTTATTCAAAGACATTAAAATATTTTATCCCAAGTTAAGCTTACGTTACATCATTGCACAGTGTTCGCACATTACCTTGGCTCATTGTTAAAAAAGAGGGCCTGCAGACACCAACTGGTTCAACTTTCTGTTATACCTTCGCTAAGTCTGGACTGTGGGGGCTTTGCAAATTCTCTGATTGTGCCAAACTGCTTATGTGCAGGACTTGTTATGTTTGCTGGGCAAGAGTGGTGTGTGATCAAGCTAAATATATTGATCACAAGCATTTTTTTTTTAGAACGCGGCACCAGGGTGCTGGTAGCGACACAGTGGAATGTAAATTGGTATAAGTGGCCTTCACAGAAGTCTGTTATAATGTCTTAGTTATGTGCTGTCATTTTTCAACTACCATAATGAAGCTCTGCACATACCTAAACACAAACACCATGCAAGCAGTTGCAAGAGTTCGAACATCATGAGCACCCAGCTTTTCAAATTTGGTGCTGTACTTGTAAATGTCCCGAGAAAGTGATTCGAGTTCCTTTTATGTTGAGCACTTTGCGACCATGATGCCACGAGAAGTAGTATATTGGTGACCACCTTGCAGGGAGCATTTCCTTCCATCTGCCTTTTTCATTATTAGTGCTACTGATGACCATTCTGGTACTAGCATGGCTTCCTCCTCTGTGTGTAGGAATTTGTTTTCCTGAAACAAGTTGCACTTTTGGGTACTAAAGCATTCTTTGCATGCGAACATTGCCGTTTTGTGCTTTTGCTTGTTTGCATATTTCTTTGCCCTCTTTGAATGGGTGAGCTCTTAGAAACCAATGCACCAGTTTGTGACTAGCTTTCACTGCTGATTGCTCTGAACTTGTGGTGCTGGTGAAAGTGCACTGTTAGCAGGCACAGTCTTTAGTTTACAGTGGCCTATATGTATAACTGATTCAGTATGCCGGGCTGTTGTTCACCAGTTATAGTTCAAAATTTTTGTAGATGAAATAAAGAAATAGTATCGCCTTTTATTTATCAAATAATGAGATAAAAAGTATAAGCGTCATTCCTGGAAGCAGTAAAGCTTCTCTCTTGTGTAAATAATGTAGGACTTTGGTTGCTACAGCAGAACACTCCTCAACCGTCATACCGCTCTTTTTACTGATGCTTTATTCATACATTTACTACGTGTTTGTTTTTATAATCAGTTCACAGTTCAATGGTTGAATATCTGCATGTGCCTATACTAACAAAACTTTCATCGTGCACTGAGGTGCTACTTGGCAGACACCAGATTGCTGTGCTTATGCTACATATAGTTAGGTTGGAGACTTTTGGAGCTATCTGCTATGACACAGTGTGTGCGACTTTCCACTGGACCGAATTGGCGGCATATTAGTGAGGTTCTGCAGTTGCAACTTCTAAAGCTCCCTTAGGTGATACTGATAATAATTACACACCGTAACTATTCAAAATAATACCCATATAACTCAGACTATGAAATGCTTTGTTAGTTTGAGTTGGCACACCATTGAATTTGCACCGTTTTTAGGTGGCAATTTAATTTAATGTTCATGCAGATTCATTGTGTTGTATGGGTATTTTATTCCCAAAATTAGCAGGTATTTTAGGAATTCTGGTCAAAGACAATATATTAGACATAAACAAATGGTTTATTTTTTTTGTGTGTGTGATAGCAGTTATATTGACACTTTCAGCAGGTTTTTTGCCATCACCGTTGCTGTAATATTTCACATAAAGTTTATATTGATAACATTGTCCCGTGCACCGTATGTTCTACGCATGGGTAAAAGCATTCAAGCACTGGGGACGTACGCAGCTGCAGCAAAATTGAAACGAACTGGCCATCTTCGTCCCCTGAAGAGCATATCTGATCCATTGCCCTCTGTGCAAGGTCCGCTGTCTTATGGTTCCTCAAGTGGAGAGGAAATGCCCCACCCATATTTTGTCAGGCAAAGGATCGTGAAGAGGCACTGGTCAAAGGAGTCCCTACTGTTAAAATATGGAATTGCAATCTTTATAGTAATGTACAGCAAATTCAATCATGCATAGGTCAGAAAACCAATAATCACGAGTTATAATAACATTAGTAGAGATTAAAAATTTCTTCTTAATATAAAAAAGTTAGAACAAAAAGCTTATTTGCTCTTATTTGCTCACAAGGATCACCATAGACGAACACTCACTTGGGCTTGAGCAAACTGGAACCTCGCTCAAGAGGCCCTGCTTTTCCCACTTCCAAGAGGCACAGAAAAATAAAGATTGAAAAGCTAAAATTACATTTGATAAAGGGAAAGATTGAACTCTGTATTATGTATGTGAAATGTGTATGGCACTAAGCTGCTTATAAATTTGAAAGCCTGCGAGGTCATCTCAGTTTTAAGGAATTGAATGCAGCTTATGCAAGCTTTGCAGTTAGAATACATACGGTAATGTGATTCATTAGAACTCAATTTACTAATTCTAGGTTGTCAACAAGCTTATTACTGTTTGTATGACACAATTCCTGATCAATGCAGCTCTGGGGCTGTGTTCCACTAATGGAATTGCTGCCTTAAAAAGTTAGCTTAGTTTTTATCATTCAAGGAATTATGCAATAATATTTAGATCGCTGAAAGCATAACTTGTGATTGGCAGGGAAACCATGATGACTTCACCTACACACAATCAATGGCTTGCATTCTGGAAAATCGGCTATATCATTCGAAATTTGTTGATGCGTACAACCCAAAGTAAAGTTCAGTGGGCATGGCAGTAGGTATATGTGCATGGCAGAAGGGATTTCAATTATTGTCTGACAGAATCAACTAAAGCTTCCATGCTGTATTGTCTGAGCCTTCTCAATGGGGAATTAGTGTTCAGGGCCGAATTCCTGCACTGAGGAGGAACTTCCTGTTGTCCCTTTGGTTATGCTGAGCCCTGTCTTCTGCACTTTTACGCTACTCTCTTGTGCTGTTCATTTTTCCTTTTAAGTGTGTGCATGACCTTTGTTGAATTTTACAGCATGTGCAGTGTACAAACAATGAGGTGGGCATGCCTTCTTTCTTGGTGCAGTCTCAAGCTCTTCTGTACTTGTGCACAGCCCGACCTTGTCTCGTCAGCAGTGCTCCACAGCTCAAATGTTCTTTCGATATTAGTGAAGGTGACGATTTCTAAAGGCAAAATTCAGCGATTTTTCGATCATGTCAGGATAATCGTGCTCTTATGTTCCTGAGACACTTTTGTAATGTGCCCGATACCCGAAATGTTCAACAAATTTGAAAATAATACTTAGCAAAAAACCGCAATATCGAAACTTAAACCCGACCGAGTGCACTTCTACGGGTGATGTAATCATTCGCCCAAACCTGCCTGACTGCACATAATTCCTGCTAGATTGCACTACCTGTCCACGCCGTCCACGTTTGTGGCTGCGCCGATTGGCAAAACGCTACGCTGTTATGGTGAATATATGGCGAATCGTGTGTGGCCCACAATGCAATGCACCACTTGCCACCTATCGCACGCCTATGAACACAGAAAAGGAAATCGCACTCTCAGCCAAGGAAGCGCCGGACAAACCCACACAATTCATAGCGGACAAGCGGACGCTGCAGTGGCACTTCAGTCTGTCACTTCCGCCAGGCAAAACTCAATGTCACACACGCAATGTTGACTTTCATTCTGGCAAGCGAGGTGAGCGTTTGGAGGCTAGCTATAAAATTCATTTGAAAAGGATCTGTGAAGCTCACAAGCCTGCAATTTGGCATGAATGGCGTAAATGTGCAAGTGAACATACCCAGTGAATTTCATTGAGATCCATTGACCTCGAAAAATCACCGGAGTTGGCCTTTAACGCCACGATATTATGGGCCGACAACTGCAGGGGGGAGACTTCAGGTTTCGAACACCTCCTCCCCATCAGATTGAAATTTTGGCGTCTATGGTGCAGTGTGCAATTACACAAAGAACAAAAATGGCAATGGTGTATCTTCAGCTTATTGTTATAACGCAGTACTTATGTAGACACTGAGCTAAAGTGCACATCGAAGTTGCTTGGAACAACTAGTTGCAGTGCCACATGTAGCCAAAAGCTCTCATGCTACCGCTTGTGAAATATTGCATCGAAAGGGCTCTGAGTGTTTTATTGAAATATTGCTTAAGGTATTCAAACATTCTTAATTTTAGGTGGCATACTAACTTGGTCTTGCAATACATGCTACTCTTTTGTGTAACAGTTCAATACATGCATCCTTTTGACAACTTTTAGTCAGTAGAAATCAAGATTCCTTTTCTTTTTATGGCACTGCATACATAAAAAAACCCTCTTAATTTTATTGGCACAATTGTGATTATTGCCTGGCAGATGCAAACTATGTGTTTTAGGATCAGTGCAATCCTAAACTCCAGTTACTTCCACATTATGTCACTATATCAATGTTCTCAGCTCCTGCTTCTCATGTAGAAGTAAAGGTGACACGGCCAGCACAATATATGCTGCAATCATCAACCCTCGTCATTTCATTTACTTCAGCAGTTTGAAACTTACTGAACATTAATTTGTGCATGATTCTGTTTCACTGCCTGGCATGGCAACATTTAGAGGCATACTTGGAGCTACAGGTAGTATAAACAAGACAC